TGGTGGGATATTGGGTATTCGTCCGAAAGTCGTTTAAATATTAGTTATATATCATATGTACATATATATAGTCATAAAAGGTCCTTCCAGTTCATCCTATGCCCTTGGGTAGCAAGGGTATACATCCATGTCCATACGTACCATTTAGATTACTAGAAAGCTACCATATGGGTAGTTCAGGAAGATGCTAGAACAATTACTAGAACGAGATATCATACAAATGAGTCAGTTCATTCATGAGTCAATACCTTCTAGAACATTACAGTACATTACTATACTTGCTAGATAGAGAGAACACACGTTACAGCTAGCACTTTTACATAAGTACATATACATGTTTACTTTTACATGATTACACTTACATGAGCACATTTACATAAGTACATATACATGATTACTTTTACATGATTACACTTACATGAGCACATTTACATAAGTACATATACATGTTTACTTTTACATGATCATACTTATAAGAGCACTGTTACATAGATATATCAGGAGGAGTCCTATTACATTTTATATGTATCGACTCTGTTATCAAAACCCTCATTCTTATCTTTACTTTGTGATTTCAATCACATAATCGACGAGATAGATTGGATTTATTATCCTAGTACCCAAGGATACAGTTGTGGGATTGACCATTCCTAAAATCTCTGTTAGCTACAGAGGTGAAAGTACATCCACGGATGTCAACGGTTGGTACCATTACAGGTATACGATTAAGGGATTAACTATTCCTATACCCAGCTGTTAGCAACAGAGGTAAGAGTACGTCTACGGATGTCTTAAAGTTAACAATGATAGTTACCCTAGTACCAAAGGGTAATATTCAGGTTAGTTGTATTATTGCCTTTATTTTGTGACTCATTCACATAACCAATGAGGTGAATTATATGTAAGTATCTTAGTACCAAAGGATACAAATTCTTATAATGATAATAATAGTAACACAGTTAGGTCTTGGTAGAAGACTACAATCAAAACAGTTAGGTCTTGGTAGAAGACTACATTCAGAACAGTTAGGTCTTGGTAGAAGATTACATTGAGAACAGTCAAGTCTTGGTAGAAGACTCCTTTTGTTACTAATAGGAATCATAGGGATTTCTAGGGTTTTTCAAACATTTACAGTTGTTCTACAAACATTTTTATACTTATACGAGCTTTCTTTCAAAACAATGTCAAGTCTTAAAAATTATAAGTTTTACAAATTAAGACACATTAATACTTATGATCTCACCAGCTTCAAAGCTGATACTCGCTTTCAAAATTTCTTGTATCCTCAGGTCATCATAGACAGGTACCGATGCAAGGAGAAAGGAAGATGGTGCTTGTTCAAGACTTATCTTTCATTTTGATTTATGCTTTAGTGTTTATCAAAATTCGACAGAACACATTTGTATAATAATTATATTATTAATGCAATGGATGATGTTGTTGCTTGTTTACTACTTTACATTGTTGTTGATATTATACATGACGTCCTCCACCCCAGAACGTTTCCGCCGTTCCTGGTTTTGGTGTGTGACATCACAGTTGTAGTCTTGATCTTCATTTTCCTCTTCCTGAATCCATTCGAAGATTGGTTCATTATGGTGGTCCACATACACATTCATTCTCCTCTCATTTGCATAAGCCAAATCCAAAAATTCTTTGTAATCACCGTCATTCACCATTGTATGAATTCCCTAACTTAAAGACTATTGTGGAAGGCAGAAGTAGATGTCTTTGCTTCTACTTCTGGTGAGCTTATGAATGAATTCCATGAGCCGCTCATACTCAAATGCATTGAAGTCAACATCTCGCACTGATTTTCTGTCGAGGTCAAAGTATACTAATGGGTTGGGAGCAAACATTCCATTATAGTGGAAATCCACTACAATGAAGTTTTGATCAGTGGTACATTGTGGTGAAGCCATTATAGAGACCAATTGAAGATTGAAGGAGACAAAAACGGGGGTTAATAAGACTTCGTGCCCTAATCAAATTTAAGGACCATATGAGACTTCACTCTTAACTTTAATGAGGAGGGGAGGCAAAATCAGGGCCTACATGCCACCTCATTGGCCACGTAGGATAAAAAGCCACCTCAAACCGATTCAATCGTTGAAACCGGCTAATATCGGTCATAAGGAGAAAATTTACACGAATCAACAAGTTAAATGACTATTAAAGCACGGAAAAAAAAGTTTAGTGATCAAATGTGACCAAAAACAATAGTATGTTACCTTCTCAAGTCATTATCCCTAAATAATTTTTTAACTAGCTATTAGCCAGAGCATGGAAATTGGCAACAAGAAGTTAAAAGTTGTAATTTTTTTTTTTGTATATAAGGGGGTGTTTGGATAAGGAAACAAATGATGCTTATTGCTTATTGTTTATTTCTATCACAATACGCTAAGTTTAAGTGTTTAGATAGAAATCCCTAAAAATCAGCTTATTGTGGTAGGAATAATTCTTCGTTGCTTATTGTTTATTGCTTATTTCTACCACAAATAAGCTAATAAACAATAAGCTAATAAGCCATAAACTAATTTATCCAAACACCCTAAATATTGAAAATAATTATAAGGTTTTGAAATGTGTAAAATGATATAAAAGGTAAAAAACTAAAACCTAAAATTAAAAGCTTTTAGAAGTTAAAAGCTCCCTCGGTTAGTTATTGAATTATGGATCTTTTGTTTAAAATTAAAAATTCAAAATTGTACTTTCAAATAAAGCTTTTCTTAAATTTAAGGTTTTTTTTTTTTTTCTAGAACAAAAAAGTAAATGCTAAACTTTCTAAAAGAAAACATCATCGAACACATCAAAGAGTGTTGGATCTTCCCTAAATTTTCATTGGATATGTTTGTCAGCTTAAATCTTTAAAACTTGTATTTATGTTATATTTGCTATAATATAATGGTGTTTTGTTTTGTATAAGTAAATCATGTGGTAATTAAATTATGTAAATTATTAATTCAAAAGTATTCCTGAAAGGATATAATGTTGCTTTGTTAACATGGGTTTGACACTTAAGAAGATGCTAATTTCTGTTTTAACAATATTATCCATATTAATCTATATTATCCATTTTAATATATATTATCCATTTTAATATGAATCAAATGTGTAAAAGGAGAATTTATAAACTACAAAGATAAAAGTTGTCATCATATATACTTAAAAGGCTCAAGGTGTATATGACGTGTGAAAGCTCCATTGGTCTATAGAAAAGCTTATCAAGCACAAATGCTTGCGTGGAGTTGAGTTGGAGGTTGTTGAGAGCATACATCATTTTGAATTTTGGATTTAATCATTTCAGGTAATAATCAAATTAAAACATCTAGTTGTATAAGGTAATGTTTAATTACAGCTCTAGATAATATTTTTTTAATATTAGATTTTAAATAAATTGATTCAAGACCGACCAACTTTTAGTTCCGCTAGACTATGTATAAAATAAAAAATGTTGCTTCAAAGTATAGTTTTGACCAATTTACAAAAACATATACTTATCATTGTTCTCAATTATATTATCATTGTTCTCAATTATAATTTCAAAAAAAAATTAAAATAGATATATAACAGTATATAAACGCTGACATATAACACATAAGATATTGGACAAGTTTGAGTTTAATGGATTTTTCATTTTATTATATATTTGGTATGCATATTAAACGATGTGTTTAAGATTTATTTAATAACATAACCTAAAACTACCAATGTCTTGTTTTCCAACAATATAGATGTAGTTGGGAAGGCATCTCAAACCAGTGATTAAGATGATTCAAGTTTCGTTGTAAGCAAAATAAAGTATTTTGAAATAGTGAATGAACTGTGTTTGTCCTTATATATAAAAAAAGGTTTTCTAAAAAGAAATCATTCAACAAAATTTAAAAAATGTTAATTTATTATTTACATTTTTTTTTCAAAAATAAGTCTATCTCACGAGTTTTTTATTATGATTAAATAGAACATGAAGTAGATAGTTGGTTTGTTTTCTTTTAGTAATCAACCTATATATAAAACCTTATTACCTTAAAGTCTTCACATCTTTGCCCCACGTGAACCTCCCATCTCTTTCAATTATAATGGAGAATCACAATCTTTTTCCACAAGTTTCTTCTTATTTTCATCAAAGACTAGAAGGGTCACAAACATTTTCTGATTCCAACCTTTCAAACACTCGATATAATCCCGCCACTCATGGAGCAAGCGATGGCGGCAATTGTTCAATATTATCTTTCTTGACACCAGATGTTGGTGGCTTCGCAGAAGCCACCATACCATCTTCAAGTTTATTTACCAACACCTCGAGATTTATCCAAAACCTCGAGGTTGTAGCCAATCTGCAACAAGCAGATTGGCTAAAGATCAGCCAGAAGTCAACTAGCAATCATTATTGGTTGAATACCAGAGCTCAACCAATGAAATACACCAGAAGACATTTTCTAAATTCGGCTTTCGAAAGCGCTCCAATATGTTCACCAAGGAAGCTATTTAGAGGTGTAAGGCAAAGGCAATGGGGAAAATGGGTAGCCGAAATCCGGTTACCAAGAAACCGGACACGTGTATGGCTTGGAACATTTGAAAAAGCCGAAGATGCTGCATTTGCATATGATACAGCCGCATATATTCTAAGAGGCGATTGCGCGTTTTTAAACTTCCCAAATCTAAAAAAACAGTTGAAAGCTAATTCGCTAAACGGCGACACTGCAACTTTGCTCAAAACGAAGTTGCAAGCCATCTCAAGAGAGATGGTGGACACGAAGGGTAATGATGACTTAGCACCGCCATTGCCGGAGGCAGTTTTACCGGCATCCGTGGTGGTTGTAGGTGGGCCGGAGGTTAAAGTGGTGGTGCCGCCAGATGCCGGAGAAGGGATTCAACTTAGTAGAATGCCGTCTTTAGACATGGATTCAATTTGGGATGCTCTTCTTGTTTCTGATTTGTGATTGTATATCATATTATGTTTATGAATGATCTTCATTGCCCAAAATTATGCATAAGAGTACGAATGAATTTAAATGAGAGATAATTTGATTCTTGTTGACAAACCGACACTTTTGTCAGAAACTATATTATAAAAATTGTAAATACTCAAATTGTATTTTTACGAAATAAGAATATATATGAACTAAAAACATATAACACGAACAAGATTTGGAGTCTAAAAGCCTGATAATTTCACCATTGTCGTACACCGGAATCAAATCGGCGTTACAGGGACTTCATCGGTGGAGTCGAATCCGACCCAGTCGATCAAAGAGAAGAGGAATTCCCTAAAGCTAACTTTCCCATCTTGATTCCAGTCCATTTCTTCTGCATTTATTCAAAACAAAAACTCAAAAATTTGCATCAACTCACAAAAACATTTAATAGTTGAAAGCAATAGGATTACTGAATCGGGTTTTGGTGATACGTGTAGGCGATTTCTCCATCGGGTCATCTTCGTTCATAGCTTTAATCATATCCTTCTTGTTCAGCTTTCCGTCGCCATTTTTATCAAGAAACAAGAAAGCTTCGATTATGGTATCGAATGTTGCTTTGAGCTCCGGGGACCCCACGGTCGATGTCTGAAACACGATTGTTGATTTTTAATTGGATTTCATTCGGAATCGGTATTAAGAGGTCGAAGAAGAAAGGGTTACCGATTGAGATGAGGAAGAAGGACCCGCGAGAAGGTGAATCAGACATAAAAGAACGATGAATTCGTTAAATTGTATCCCGTTGCTATCGTCCACGTCACATGACACGAAAAGATCGCCGATTTCTTGATCGGTGCATTGAAATTGCAGCTTCTGTAAGCATCGTTTTAGCTCCTCGTTGTCGATTGTTCCATTTGAATCTTCATCTACAAAGTATAAAACTTACCCAAGTAAGAATTGTGAATCCTATAATGATAATCTTAAACCGAGTAACTTTAGGTTCGAATGTTATACAGATTTACCGCGCCAATTATGTAATTGGGGTTAAAAAAGTAGATACAACTTTATTATAATCCATTCGTTCCAAATTAGTAGTATATGTTTTCTTTTAGTTTGTCTCTATTTTTACTAAAATACCTTTCATTTTTAATTCAACTATCATTAAATTAAATTCAACTATAATGAAATTAAATAGAGTAAATTACACGAAGGGTCCCTATAGTTTGGGGTAATTTGCGTGTTTGGTCTCTAACTTACTTTTTTAACTTGGAATGTTTCTACAGTTTGTTTTTGTTACATTTTTGATCCCTACTGTTTGTTTTTGTTATGCGCTTGGTCCCTATCTTATTAAAAAAAACTATTATTTAAATAGAAAAAAATTATAGGATATGTAAGGTAAGGTGAGGGGTGTATGGTTGGGGTCTATTTATTTAAATAAATTAAAAAATCAATGGTAAAATAATCGTTTTAAGTAAGATAGGGACCAAACGCGTAACAAAAACAAACATTAGGGACCTTCCGAGTTAAAAAAATAAGTTGGGGACCAAACGCGTAAATTACCATAAACCATAGGGACCATTCGCGTATTTTACTCAATTAAATACAACAAAAATATATAATTGTCATTTTTATTTAATAAAGTTAGTTGTAATTAATATTTTTTTAATCTGTTGTGTTTTTTTGTCTGTGGACAATAACTATAGGAAAAAGAGAGTATTAAGATACAACTTTGGGTTTGGTATGTAACACACAGGGCCGACTCATTGATTTTAAGGCCTGTGCTAAAAAAAATGAGGCCCTAAATACCATTTTTTAATATATATATATATAAGAAAAACAAATTTAAAACGGTGAATTATCGTTACAAAAAACTTAAAAGTAAATAAATTAATTATAAAGGAATATATGAAATTTTATAAAAAGTTTAAGGGCTAATTATGTAATTCTAAAAAATAACTTGTTAAGGGATTGATTATAAAATATATAGCATAAAGAAATAAAGAAATTATCAAATTTGTAACTTGAATTTAAAACAACCAATTGCTGAGAAAAAAATCGAACCCAGATTGTTTTTTAATGAAGGACATGTCTTTGCCAATTGGGTTACCCAAACTTCATGCAATATCTTGAATAAATTCATATATATTAGTTATTAAATATATCATTTAATTAAAACTCGGACCCTATTTTTTTCAGGATCCTGTACGGCTGCCTCTCTTGCCCCCCTTAAAACTAGGTCTGGTAACACATATCTATGTAATTCCCAATATCTAATTTCTTATTGGCTTTTTATAAAATTTTGGGTTTAGATAGTTGCATGAATCTTTGTAGGCTACGATGTATTTTGGGATTGTTTAACAAAATTAGTTGTAGCCCAAAGTTGGAATCTGTTAACGGAACGGGGAGCTGAAAGATGGAAAATGTAGTTTTTATTTGTATAAAGGTGTTTAGAAAATACAGTGGTTGGCTTTTGTATAAACTTACGTAAAAATAAAAAAACTAAAAGTTCTTAAAAGCTACTTGAAATAGATTTTAAATGATGAGTTGCTTAGAATAAAAGTTAAAACACTCTTACTTCCGAACTAAGCTTTTTTTTTTCCGAGTTTTTCGAAAAAACTAAAAGCTAAAGGGTGATTGGCAAAACTCAATGAAAGCCGGAAGTTGTAGCTTTTAGATGCGTAGAAGTGTTCAGCAAAAGAATCTTTTAACTTTTAAAATTGTAAAATTAACCGAAAGCTTTTAGTGGCTACACAAGTTTTTCTTTTCTAGTGGTTTTAAGTTGATTTATAGATTTTTGGGCTAATCTAATAGAAGACTTTAAAAGTCGATCCACGTGGTATGATACTCATCCAGCAACTTTAATGTTGGAATATTACATAGATCTATATGGGCTACCAATACCTTTTATCAAAGTTTTAGGTTGATCTAAAGGTTATTGGAGTAGTTTATAACATTAGATCTATGTATCTATGTGTGTTACCAATAACTTTAATCATGATTTTAAATTGGTGAATATGTTATAAGGGAAAATCTCGATGAACTTACCATATAGTTCAAAAACACCTCGAATCTCCTTTAATCCTTCTTTGAATCGAGGGAACCTCAAGATTATGCTGTTGATAGATCTAAAACTGGTTTGTCCTTGTAAGCTACTTTGCTTGACCTCCATCATTTTTCTTTCAAGTTTATTGTCCAATCTCTCATAGCGATTCACTGAATTGCAACAACATAGCATACCCCCAACTTTACTTGACAACGACTTGATGGAAGTGAGTGTTTGAGGTGTACCTTTAAGAAAACGGATTCATAAATCACCATTTCAGATCACTAATCCTTCTAACCTAGATCAGATTTTTAGCACTAGATTGACATTTTCATTTCAGGTTTTCAGCTAAATGAAAGCTAAGAAAGCTGCTTATAAATCCATGAATTTATTGATTTTAACATCTGGAGTTCAATAGGGTGACAAAATCAATGAACATAACTAAGAACTACAAGTTACAGCATGGGAAGATCATTCAGACAAAAAATCGAACACTTGGTGGGCATCAACCATACTTTAGATTCGTGGGTTTCAGCTTGACACTTAGTAACAAGCGAAACCCAATTGAGAATAGAAGCAAGACAGTTAAACAGAAGAGAATTCAGTTAATGAAAAGGAAGATACTTACCCATTAAAGCTTCGATTGTTTGAAGAGAGATGGAGGAACTGTCGAACTGATAGATTTGTTTGAGTAAGTAATGCTTACATAAAGAGGGGAAAAAGAGGATAAAGATGAAAGAATCTGGTTCTAGAAAAGCGAAACGACAATGGTCTTCCAACTTTTGAATTAAAAATTCTTCCCTGATTCAAATCTCGAAGGTGGAGGAAGATATATTACAACGCCCCCACTAATATCATTTAAACCACATTCTTCATCGTAATCATTTCATTCTTAATGTCAAATTCGCTTTACCCCTTTCATTTTATAATTCTTTGCACTGAAAATGAGACCCACAAAACAAAAACCATAGAACCCAAATCGATTGAAGACAAACAATTTCTTGTTTTGCAATTCACAACAACTAAGGTTACAAATGATCGAGAACAATCGGTGATCCCAAATTGAAGATAGAACAAAAGCAAAACAGTAAAAAAAAAAATAGAAATCGAAAGCATTAACTTAAGCGATCCAAACATCATCCATTCTGCTCGACTGCAAAGAATCTCCACCATTAAACATGGCCCGCTGTCTCTTCTTAAGAACAGCTGGCGAAACTGGGCTCCCGTTTGATGTCAAACAGCTGTCAACACTGGGTGCGATTCCATTTTCAAGATAAGCAGCAACTTCTGGAAATGAAGGGATTGGGATGACAGATGGCGGACAATCATTGGCTACCTTGATTGCAAGCTCTGAAAGCTCCTCTCTAGCTGCTTCTAATCCAGCTGTTGCAACTGCTTGATCGTTTAGAGCTTTACATGCTTTTTCCAAAATTGATTGAAGATATTTCCCTTGTGCTTCTATTCGAAGCTGTAGTCGACGTTGAACCTGAAAATTATCACATCGTTTCACAATTTTTCCATTATTGTGAAATTTCTCAACTTGCAAACAAAGTTTTTAACTCTAGTTAGATTTTAACATATATGATAAAAATTAGGTTTAAAAACTGACAAAATAGAATAGCTTTCATGTGTTTTTATGAAAAAGTTTTTTAAAAAGTAAATTCGGAATCCAAAAAACTAACCTCTAGTTGTTCATGTAATCTTCTTTGGACTTCCATTTGCACCCTCAAAGCTTCTGTAACCTGAAAGCCACTGTTGTAAAACAAACAATTAATGAGGTAAAAAAATAAGAACCCTAAATTCAACATTTTTTTTTTTTTTTTGAAAATGAAAATGAAACCCTAAATTCAACATACTCATTTGAATCTTGTGGCATCATTCTTGTTGACGATGTTGTGGATGAACCCGTGTCTTGACTCTCAGCAATGCAAGATGCTATAAATCCAACCGTGTCCATTATTAGAGAATCAAGATTTTGTAACTAAAAAAATAAATAAATACCAATATATAATATATAATAACGAGGGTATTTTGGTCTTTATAATTGGAAACACCGGGGGTCATAGAGTCATTACCATCTTTTGAATTCTCTGTTAACTCTTTGCAAGATTGTTTCCCCAGCCGGTATTTCTGCAAGATCAAATAACATAATTTTTTTTGTAAAATTACTTATATGCCCTTGTTTAACTATTACTTCCGTGAATAATCATAGTTTCCTACATGTTTCAGAAGTGATTATTTATCTGATTCCGATTCTGATAATTCAACATCACATAATCACGTATGTAAAATGTAACAAAAAAGTATATTTGAAAGTAGTGAAATTGAGAAACCTGAAGATGTGACTTCAAATGATAAAGGGTGAGGCCTTTTACGCCCATTGTCCTCATGATTGTCTTTGGAGTTGCTTCTAAAATACACATAAGAAACATATAGTTATTATGGATAGGATAGGATATGTCATCTATTGTGAGAAATTATTGACTTTGTGCAATTTCATCCAAGTATATTCATTCTAATTCAAAATTCACATAACCAAGTCAACATTCGACATTGACCACATACATAATAAAGTTCAAACGAAGTTTCAGATTGCAATTAGTATACGTCACTAGTTAGCAATATGCCAAAAGCTAAGTGGATTAGAATAAGTTATTTAACAGAATAAATTCATTAAATATCTAAACACAATATAACAAGATTCAAATAAGAGAAGAATCTTCTCTTCATGCAATGACAAACTGCAAAAAATTCTTCAATTGTCAAGTCAAAATAATCTAACAAAAGCTGATCATTCCAATTTTATGGTCAAATAATTAGATTTGAAGAAGCAACATCCCTAGCTTATCTTTAAGCACCTTTTATCAAGTTTTTATTTTAACAATAATCACTTTGGAAAAAGCAAGTAAGACCTTAAAATGACTACTTTAATTCCCCCTTTGTTCAAGAGAGAGAAGATGCAACTTGTCTTTTGATGATAGCCCTAATGATTTCCAAATGAAATTGTGGATAAAGATTTATTAATGAAACTCCACCATGAATTGATGACGATAAAAGTAACATGTTGGTCCCAGATTATGTATTTGGGAGGTTCGCTAAACCCTAGGAAAATAGATAAACTGGTGCTACATGATTATATCATATAATTATATCATAAAGTAACCAAAAACGAATAGAAAAGCTTAACAATTATAGAACAAGATAACCATGGAACTCGAAATTAGCAATAAAATACTCACTATCGGGGCCACCAAGTTGAGTAACGGCATCGATAAATCTCTCATGGAGCTCCGCCGTCCACCGGAGACGAGGCTTCGGATCCGTGGTCAACACCAAACACGGATCGCCAACGAAATTGTTAGCGTCTAACTGACCAGGAAACTCACCATGCCCTAAACTATTTCCGTCCAACGAAATGGAGTGAATCCCTGAATACATTTCAAAACCCAGTTCAAAAACGCTTTGATTTTGAAGGGTTTGTTGAAGATTAGAATAAAGAGGTCAAAAAAGGGCCCGAAAGATGAATGGAAAGAAGAGCCAGGGGGTTGAGATGCCCAAAAGCATGTTTTAGAGAGAGAGGGAGAGAGAGAGACAGCGATGTCGTCTTCTTCACTTGTCTTAATCTGTCGCTTTTGTGTGTACTCTCTCCTGCAATATTTTTATGGAATTCTTATTTAGTTCGCCATTTTAGTTTTTTAGTGAAGAAAGACTACTCATGGAGAACATGGCATGAGGAGTCCTATCACTCTCCCTACCCTAATAAAATATAAAATACGCCAAAAAAAATATTGCTTTTTATAAATCATAAAATAATAATAAAGACTTTTCCATTCGTAGAAGCATTTTAAATTGAAACGAGTACATATTCTTAACGTATACTCGAGACTCCATTCTCGACTTTTTAAGATATGTAATTGTGAAATTTTATCTTTTTTTTCGTGTCTACAAAATCTTATAAATGTTAAAATAATATTGGTTGTGTTTAAATGTTACATTTTGATATTTACATGTCACCCCAAACTTATTTAAACATTGGTCAAATTGTTTTTGAAACGTTTCATACCAAATGATTATCATTATACACTAGTTCATCTCGACAGTGAAGTCATGTGAAACTGTTATGGTTAAGTCAAATTTAAATAAAGTGGTTAAGCTGAAATAATTTTATTAGATTTGATCATTTGAATGTTATTTAATCAATAGGTTGTTTCGGAACACTTTGATATCAGTTTACTTAAATTGGTATGTATAAAGATAATTTTGACATTCGACTAAATTGACATATGCTAAAACTTTTAATAAGTGGTAGCATTTGATATGAAGCCTAATCAATTGATTTCAATTGTTATTTAGGGATAATGACTTGAAAGGGTAACAAACTTTCGACTTTTGTCACATTTAATCACTAAATATTTTTTCGTTATCTATTTGCCATTGAACTATTGAAACTGTTCACATTTTACCCTTATGACCGGATGTTGCCGGTCATAAGGGTAAAATATGAACAGTTTCAATAGTTCAATGGCAAACAGATAACGAAAAAAAGTTTAGTGACTAAATATGAACAAAATCGAAAGTTCGTTTCCCTCTAAAATAAAATAACTAAATGTGAACAAACCTCCTCTTGTATTATGTTTTAGCAAATTATTTATTTTTGTTAAATTGTAGCAACATTTGTTGATGAAGAAATCTATGAAATAAAAAAAAAACAAAACAAAACCTTGAAAATATATTTAAAAAAAACAAAAAACCAAAACCAAAATAAAAAATCAATGGTTTGACATTTTCCGAAATAAAAAATCAAAATTTCCAATATGATTTTGGTTTTACAAAAAAATGAACAATTCTCACTGATGTGAATTATGACCATTGGTTCGGCATGTGAAATTTGTGACATCCCATGAATATTGTTGGATTAGTGTCTAAGTCCATAACTATTTTGGTATGTACTTGACCCGATGGTGCATGGTCCTTTTGGGTTGTCATCACCAAAGCAACTTGATAGGATGAATTATGGAGAGAAAGGATTAAATATGATTTATTAATATATTATGGGAATAATATATTAAAGGAGAAATCATATTGTTTAATTAATATTAGTCAATAATTAATTGGTAATTAGTTTTTTGGCTAAAAAAGATTAATTAAACTTAAGGGACTGGAATTGTAATTATTAGATAATTATAATTTGGGCCATGGATTGCCTTATATTATAAGGTGGATGAATTCTATGGGGGAAGCCCATATGAAATCGTCCAAGGCTTAAAGAAAAGGCTCCATGGGTTGCTTAGGGCTTAAGCCTCCAAATTAGGGTTTCCTTGTTAGATAACCCTAATAGCCTTACTATATATAAGACCCTTATGACCAAAAAACGTGGCTAATGATCTTTCTAGGGTTTCACACGTTTTTTGGGCAGCCTCCAACCTCTCTCCTCTTCATCCTCTTGCTTATGGTGTTTGTGAACCATTAGAGGAGTGACATTTGTGACTCTAAGCTTTCTAAAGTCAATACAAGGAGATTTGGGATTGTTATTGCTACATAACAATCAAGGTAACATTATAAACTTATTCTTATGGCTAATATGATTATTTGAATGCTAGAATTAGCGTTCATAGTCTTGGATAACTTGCAT